TCTGCCCGGCTGTTAAATCCCCCCAGGGCTGGGGACTCGACCCCTTCCCTGGGCAGCCCCTTCCCGTGCCTGACAGCCCCAAGGGGAAGGAATTGTTCCCCATGGCCAACCTCACCCTGCCCTGGCACAACTTGAGGCCATGGTACCGCTGGGCTGGGAGCCCCGGAGATGGTTCAGCTGCATCTTCCTGCAGCCAGCCCTCGGCTCCGTCACCCTGGGTGATTTTGTGCCACCCACAGGCTCATCACCCCACCTGAGGTCACGGGTGACCAGGCTGAAGTCCCCACCACTGCAATCCTTCAGCAATGTCCCAGCCCAGGTGTAGAGGGTCCTGGGTGACCCCCACCGCCTCGAGCAGAGCCCGGATGGGGCAGAGCTGCTTTTCCAGGCAGAAGTGGGGGCATTTTGCCTGCCAGACAGTGACCCCGTCACACCGAACCAGACCTCTGCCTGCCCTCAGTCTGTCCCCAGCCCACCCATCATCCCAAATGGCAGGAGGAGCTGCACGGTGGGCAGCTGCCCCCTCTCCTTGGAGGCCACGGACAGAGAGCATCGCTGCCACGGGCTGGCAGGTCCCCACGACACGCAGGGCAGCAGGCAGATCCCTTGCCTTTATTTTCCCGTTGTTCCTTTCCCAGCTGGGAAACCAGGTTTCCACTGAGGGCAGGGTGGGCGCGGTGGCTTAGGCTCTGTAGGGGAAGAAGCTGTCCCGGATCCCTCTCTCCTGGGAGGTGACCCTCTTCCCCGAGGGGAAGGTCTGGTAGCTCCGCAGGTTCATCGGTGACACTCGCAGCAAATGCCAGCGGGTCTTGGCGCTCAGCGGCGGGCTGGGGAAGAGCAGAGCACCACGGATGGTTACGGAGGTGCAGGCAGGGGTTATGGAGGTGCAGGCAGGGGTTATGGAGGTGCAGGCAGGGAGTACAGAGGTGCAGGCAGGGGTTACGGAGGTGCAGGCAGGAGGTACGGAGGTGCAGGCAGGGGTTACAAAGGTGCAGGCAGAGGGTATGGAGGTGCAGGCAGGGAGTACAAAGGTGCAGGCAGGGAGTATGGAGGTGCAGGCAGGGGGTATGGAGGTGCAGGCAGGGAGTACAAAGGTGCAGGCAGGGGGTAAAGAGGTGCAGGCAGGAGGTATGGAGGTGCAGGCAGGGCTCAGCCATAGGGGTCTGCTCTCCTGTTTTCAATGTGCAGTCACCCATCGCCATGCGGAAGGACCCTGGGGATGGGGAGCGCACAAAGGGCCTGGGGGAGGTTGAGGTTGCAGTCAAGGCCACCGCTGCCTGTGGCCCTTGGGGACATGCTGCCCGGCCTCCCAGGAGCTGCTCCACGTCCAATCATTTCTGTGGGGACAGGTCAGGGAGCCCTGCGCCCAGCTCGGGGGTCCCCAGCCCAGGACAGACAGGGACCTGCTGGAGCGGGGCCAGAGGAGGCCACGGAGATGGTCCCAGGGCTGGAGCCCCTCTGCCATGGAGAGAGGCGGGGGGGGGCGGGGGGGGTTCGCCCGGCGGGAAGGCTTTCATTTTTATTGATTCTTTTTAACTGTGGGGGTCTTTTTTAACTTATGGGGACAGACTTCTAGTAGGGCTTGTAGCCATAGGCCAAGGGGTAATGGTTTTAAAGTAAAAGAGGGGAGATCCAGACGGGATAGGAGGGAGAAATTGTTTGTGCTGAGGGGGGGGAGACCCTGGCCCAGGTTGCCCAGAGCGGTGGTGGCTGCCCCATCCCTGGGAACATTCCAGGTCAGGTTGGACGGGGCTGGGAGCAACCGGCTCTGGTTGGAGATGTCCCTGCTGATGGCAGGGGTTGGGCTGTGTGAGCTGGAACCCCCCCTTCCCCCCCAAACCGCTCCACAATTCCATGACTCTATGTGCAAGGAGAGGCAGAGCTGGGCTGTTCAGCCTGGAGAGCAGAAGGCCGGGGGGATCCTCTTGCCTACAGCTTCCTATGAACAGGTAGCAGAGCAGAGGCTCTCGAGGATGTAGAGATGCGGGAGCCTGGAGGATGCACGTTGAATTTCAGGCTGCAGGATGAAAGCAGCAGCGACGGGCACAAGGTCCAAGACATCAAGATCATCCAGCCAGGTTTAAAGACAATACCTGAAGATATTTTATCTGAAGCCCTCTGAAGAGGCCTGGAGCCCTTTTTCCCTATATTTTACAACCTTATCGAGCCAGAGGAACACAGCACTAGAGGGCACCCATGTACTTCTGCTGGCGGCTGCCTCCCACTGCAGCTCTGCTCCCAGCCCCGGGCTGCCAGTGCTTGCTGGAGCTTCATTTTCAGCCCATTTTGGGTCAACCATCCCAGAGGCCAGCGTTGTGCTCGGAGACCAAGGCAAGAGGAGATTTTGGATGCTGGATATAACAGAGAATCCCAGCATCCCAGCATGGCCGGGGCTGGCAGGGCCCTCCGGAGCTCACCCAGTGCCACCCCCCTGCCCAAGCAGGCTCACCCAGAGCAGGGGGCACAGGACAGCGTCCAGGCGGGGGTTGAAGATCTCCAGAGAAGGAGACTCCACAGCCCCCCTGGGCAGCCTGGGCCAGGGCTCGGTCACCCTCACAGTCAACAAGTTCTTCCTCATGTTCACCTGGAACCTCTTCTGCTGTAGTTTGTGCCCATGGCCCCTTGTCCTGGCGCTGGGCACCACTGGGAAGAGTCTGGCTCCGTCCTTGTGACATCCACCCTTAAAATATTCATATGTATTGATGTGGTCCCTGCTCAGTCTTCTCTTCTCCAGGCTAAACAAGCCCAGCTCCCTCAGCCTTTCCTTGTAGGGGAGATGCTCCAGTCCCTTTATCATCCTTGTTGCCCTCCTCTGAACTCTCTCCAGGAGTTCCTCATCCTTCTTGAACTGGGGAGCCCAGAACTG